TACCGGAGCCCCGAGGCCCTGTGCGGAGACGCCGCCCTCCGTGGTCCGCGCCAGGCTCGGCGGCGCGGCCGGAGCTCCCATGGGAGCCGGGAGTGCCCGGCGAGGGGTCGCCCGCAAGTTCATGCCAGAACGCCTGCGGACTCAGTGAACCTGACCCCTAGAACATCTCCCTGACACATCTACCTCTGGTCCCTCACCTCCAAGATGAGGCGACACTGGCCCCACCTGCTTCACCAGGTTCCGATGCGGCGTTAAAACATACGGTGTGGCAAATGAAGACGTCCCCAAGTGCATCGGACTGGCCCCATGATTTTGTTGAAAAGTTGTGGCTTTTCCCTCCTACTCTTCAGCGCTGTGAACATGACAGGAAACTGTGGTGTTAGGGAATGTTCGGCTGTCACACATGAATCAGGGTTCCTTGTGCAATTAGGGATTTCAAGTGTGACCCATTTTGTAGTTGCTCTTGGAAGCCCTCACCCCTACTTTCATTTCAGGTTTTTTGCGGCGGGAGGTGGCCCTAATTTAGCTGTGTAGACAGCTTGTCTGTATTGATGTCTACTGTGTTTAAAAGAAAAAATCACTAACAGTGCCTTTGCTTAACACCGCCCAGGTTCTATTTTCTGCTCATACCTAAATTCTCTCTTGCCCATCCCAGTATCACAAGGCCCCCTTGCTGTTCCTTTGTTGCTCTGCATATAGGTTTGATTCAGTGTCGGTCTGTTTCCGTCTCTCTGCTGTTTTGAATGCCTTTTCCTCAAATCGGTAGCTCACCTTCTCGGGGATTTTGTATTGTTTGTCTTTCTCTGTGTTCTCTCTGTATTGCACAGTATACTCACTGATACCTCCAGCTCTCAGAAACAGTCTTTAGTACTTATAAGATAATCGGCAAACATTTGGTAGGGTTTTTTGTTTGTTTGTTTGTTTGTTTGTTTTTAAGATTTATTTTTGCCGGGTGTTGGTGGTTCACACCTTTAATCCCAGCACTCGGGAGGCAGAGGCAGGCGGATCTCTTTGAGTTTCAGGCCAGCCTGGTCTACAAGAGCTAGTTCCAGGACAGGCTCCAAAGCTACAAAAAAAAATTTTTTTTATGTGTACATATACACCATATTCATGCAGAGGTAAGATGAGGATATCGAGAGGGAGTATGAGCCACCATGTGGGTGCTGGAAATTGAACTCAGGTACTCTGAAAGAGCAGCAGATTCTCTTAGCCACTGAGCCCTCTCTCTAGCCCCTCAGCAAATGTTTGTTAATGAATTAATTGATGACAGATTAATTTGTGTTTGTGTGTGTGTATAGGCAGGTGCCACACCGTACTTTTGGAGGTCAGAGGACAACTTGAAGGAGTCAGTTCTCTGCTCCCATTAGGGTCCTGCTGCTGGAACTCAGGTTGTACTTGGAGGCAAAGTGCCATTTGCCCACTAGCCATCTCTGGCCCCCCAAAAAATCACAACTTTTTGTTAGTGATGGGGAACCTGAAAAAAGGCATACTTTGCTCATAGTACTGAACTTTGAGATTGTATGAAAACTTTCTTCCAAGTAATTTTAACAGTGTATCTTACAAGCATCACCTCATTTGTTCTGGTGGTGGAATATTATGACAGAAGGAGAATTTGAGACAGACAGAAATGGACTTGCCCCAAGCCACATAGCAAGAGAGACGCAGCACTGATTGAACATAGGGTATTTAGTTGTTTTCAATCTGTTAGTTACTGATTGAACATAGGGTATTTAGTTGTTTTCAATCTGTTAGTTACTTGTTTTCGAAATGAGAATTAACTTGAGTTAATTCTTTGACAGTTAACTGAGTGGTCTGCAGACAAAGTAGTCCCAAGTGGGAATTTATACACTATGCATTTTGAAAATCTTCTAAGATTTGTTTTTATTTGTGTCTGTCTATCTGAGTACAGATGCCCATGGAGGCCAGAGGCATTAGATCCAGGTAGAGCTGGAGTTAGAGGTGGTTGTGAGTTGCCTAATGTAGTCCTGTAATGAACTCAGGCCCTCTGCAAGAGCAGTCCCTCTGAGCCATCTCTCCAGCCCTGTCTTGCAGACTTTTACTTTGTAAACATTTAAATGCACTACGTTGGCAAATATTTACCCAACATTTAATTGTTTTAACAGTTTCTAGGAGAGCTGGGTGTTGGTGGTGCACACCTTTAATCCCAGCATTCAGGAGGCAGAGGCAGGAGGATCTCTGAGTTCAAGGCCAGCCTGGTCTCCAGAGCGAGTGCCAGGACTGGCTCTAAAGCTACACAGAGAAACCCTGTCTCGAAAAACAAACAAACAAAAAAGAACAGTTTCAGGGCCAAGTGTGGTGACACATACCTTTAATTCCAGCACTGAGAGAGACAGATCTTTGTGAGTTCTTGGGCAGCCAGGGCTACGAAGTAAGACCCTGTCTCAGACAAAGACAGACAGGAAATGGCTTTCAGGGAAGACTGGACCCTTCAGTCTTCCCTGAATAACAGATGGGGTTCCCGTTAGTGTAAAATCTTGGTTTTAAAGCATTTGTTGCTGGTTCTGTTTGGAAAAACACTGAGGATTTTTCAGAAAAGTTTGTGAAGTGGATTTATCATTCTAAATGTCATAGCCATTTTCATTTTATGAAAGATTTCTCTGAAAGTGTTGTTAAACAAAAGTGGGCATCTTCTGCTAATGTGTTAAAATTACTCAGCTGTGATTCTTTGGTTTTTGTAAAACTTTGTTGAAGACTTCCTTCCTTCAGTCTCTTCCTCTCTAGAGTGCTACATCTTGGTTAAATCCTTTTACAATAACTCTTGAAGAGTCCCTCAGAAGACCTCTTTATCTTATTCTCCATGTTCCCAGCCAACTACAGCTGATCTCTTGAGATCAGCCATAGCTGTGTCACTCTTGGGAAAACCTTCCAGCTCTTCCATTGCTTCATTAATGAGCTTAATACATCTTTATGTTATGTTACAGGCCCCGGAAAATGCTTCCAACCCTCCATCTTTCTTGTTCCCCTTTCCCCAGTTTATGTTCTCTATAGTGAGACAGTAAGTTAGTGTGCACTGTAGGGCAGTGGGTGAGACAAGGATGCTTGTTTATAGAGGAGGGACTTAACAGCAAGTTTGTTTTCCACTGAGAGGCAGAAGTTTGGGGCTTTTCAGACTTTTGTTTGTTCATGGTTTTCAGATCACTGTTACACAGGGAGACAGTCACCTGTAGTAGGGGGAGGAAATGAGGAAACCTGTTTTGTAGAAATAAGGGATTTCCTTGTCAAAAGTCTGGAGGTAAAAAGCGGTATTCTGATAGAAACAATGTAGTTGTAGACTTTGGGTCGTCTTGAACTGCGTTGTAGTAAAATGGAACTGTAAAGATAACCTTTGTGATGTCTGGTAGCACATACCTGGACAGGATCAAACACAGATCCATCTTACACTGGCTGTGCCTTGGGAGAGGGTATGGTATTTGTGAGGAATAAGGCTGTCTCCTTAACAGACGTTTCTGCTTGTTCCAAAGCCACCTTCGCTTACTTTTGTCTCACTTGAATAATTAGGCGGTGGAGGGACTTCTGGAAACATTCATTCATGGACTTCAAAGCATGTCTGTATTCTGAGAGAGCTATCAAAAATAAAATATGCACAGGGTTAGAGAGAGCTCTGGCTAAGAGCACTGACTGTTCTCTCAGAAGATCCATGTTGGGTGGCTTGTGACTCCTGTACCTGCAGTGCCAGGTGACCCCATGCCCTCTTCTCGCTTTTGTGGATGCTTTCTCATACACATAAAATACACTGCACAGAGCCCCGTAGTGGTGGCACACGCCTTTAATCCCAGCACTTGGGAGGCAGAGGCAGGCGGATCTCTGGGAGTTGGAGTCCAGCCTGGTCTACAAGAGCTAGTTCCAGGACAGCCTCCAAAGCCACAGAGAAACCCTGTCTCGAACCCCCCCCCCAAAAAAAAGAAGTACAGCACAGTGTGGTGAATTGATGAATTGAAACTATACTAAAAATTTCATGAGTGTCCTAACAGAATCTACAGACAATGAACTGGTTCATGCTTGCTTACCCTGCACCAGAATCATACCTCTGCATCTGGGGTCCTATGGCAGTGAGGCAGGTAGCCCTCCAAGTTCAACAATGGCAGATGTAGTCTTGAAGTTGAGACCCTTAGAGTCCTAGGCTTATAAACACCCTCACCTGTAAATCACATTCTTGTGCGCTGTGTCATTAGATTTAAAGTTTCAGGCAGGTGGTGGTGGTGCACGCCTTTAATCCCAGCACTGAGGAAGCAGAAACAATTGGATCCCTGAGTTTGAGGTCAGCCTGGTATACAGAGTTCCAGGACAGCCAGGGTTACATAGAGAAATCTCATAAAAAAAACCAAAGGAAAAAAATTGTTGAAATTACGTTGAATCTAGAGATCTCTGTTTTAAAGCCATATCAAAATGTAACATATACTTTTTTCTTTTTCTTTTTAGTCGTGTGGTTTTGCCATGTTCTGTTCAGGAGGTAAGTTTTTTGGTTTGGTTTGGTTTGGTTCTGAGCATCCTATTGGTATGATTTACTGATATTTTAATCTATACTGTTTTTGTAGTATACATTTGCTTTTGTCTTCTTTTTGGGTGCAGTTCTGGGATCTGGACCCAGGTCCTCAAACATGCTAGGCAAGCAGTCTACCAATGAGCTATATTCTCTGCCTTTATTTGCTATTTTATTCCAGCTTCTTTGACAGAATGGACCATGGGTTACAGACAATTGTAAATAAACTTCTGTTATATCATCTCATTTGGGAAAATCTGTAGAAAAATAGTTTAGCTGATGCAGAAATTCTTTTCAACACTGTCCCAGAAAAATGAGGTTCCAGCCTCAGTTTAAGTTCTTCCTACATGAGAGAGCCTGCTGCTGAGAGAAGAGGTGGCCTCCTTTACTACTGGGCACTTGTCTTTTCACAGAACTTGCTTTTCTGTACCACTCGTGAGTTGAGCCTTCTCCGTCTCTTGCCTGTGGTAACACTTAAACTTTTCTGATGGTAGCCCTGCCTGCACCACCCCCAAGACCTTCTGTTCCACAGAGTTAAACATTCCCAGCACATCCATTTATGCTAATATGCTGTGACCTCATGACCTTACACAGCTGGCCTCATTGCACCATTGCACCTTAGTCATGGCTCTGCACTGAAATGGTATTCCAGATGTGATCTTACCATCAGTTAACAATGAGATGATGGTCTTGATCATATAGTGGAGGACCTGTCAGAGAAAACAGAGAGGCTGTCTGAGGGACTCGCACGCAGAGCCAAGCTCAGCTCCCCAGGGCCCTTCTGAATGTGAGAGTAGTAGTCCTCAGCTGACAGTAGATCCAAAGCAGAGAATTGGAAGTTGGACAAAACAAACGATAAGCTAAGAAATGACAGGTGACAGAAGGCTGGAAAAGCAGAACTGAGGAAAAGTAGTGATTCTCCTTCATGTGCACTCAGCACAGCTGCATGGTGACTGAGCAGGCTGGGGTTTCACCACATCACTCAGAGCACTGGCTGCACCAGGCCCTGCTCTGTTTGTATAATTGATTGGGGCGGTGGGGGTGTGTTGGGGGTTGTGGGGGGGGGGGGGGGGGGGGGGGCTGATTGAAACAACTTGTTGAAATCTGGAGTCTTGACATTGTCACCCCAGAAGTTTTCAGCTTTGGGTTATGTTCAGATTTAACAAGAACACCCCCCCACCCCCACCCCATGCATACACCTCCATTCCCAGAATCTGAGTTATTCTGTTTTGGTTTTTCGAAGACAGGGTTTCTCTGTGTAGCTTTGGAGCCTGTCCTGGAGACCAGGCTGGTCTTAAATCCAACTGTCTATGTCTCCTAAGTGCTGGGATTAAAAGTGTGGGCCACCACACCTGACCCTGAGTTGTTTTTCAGATAACACCAATGAGAAGACCTAGTAGCATGCTTCAAGTTACCAATTCATCAATCTTATTTCTTCATGAATTTTTGTTAGACCAAATTTGTTCTGTTTTCAAGATCTCTTAATCCTCTTTTGAAATCTGACATGTTGAAAGTAGGTTTTGAAGGACTTAAGGAGTGTGACATTAGCATTAGATTAATCCAAACAATATGTCAGCCTCCCCTGCAGTCCAGATTCTTTTTGTTTGTTTTGGTTTTTCAAGACAGGGATTCTCTGTCTTGGCTGTCCTGGAATTCTTTGTAAACCTGGCTGGCCTGGAACTCATAGAGGTCAGACTGCCTCTGCCTTCCAAGTGCTGGGAATTAAAGGCGTGTACCACCATGCCCAGCTCAATCCAGAGTCTTAAGTAGATACTCGGGAGCACCTAAGGAATTTCTGTAGTTCCAGTCTTTCAGATCCTTCTAAATCAAATTGAGTAATGCTGGCTGGGGGTGGGGCTATTAAGTTAGCCACACAACTTTGCGTTTTGGAGGGGAGTATTTCCTGCGCCTTTGGTGATCCTTTTATTCTCACAGGTATACTTTTAGCTTTAATTATGAGTTAGTTTTTTTTTTTTTTTTTTTTTGGTTTTTCAAGACAGGGTTTCTCTGTAATGTTTTGGAGGCTATCTTGACCAAGCTAGCCTCAAATTCACAGAGATGTGCCTGCCTCTGCCTCCTGAGTGCTGGGATTAAAGGCGTATGCCACCAACATCCAGCTAATTATGAGTTCTTGGAGGTAAAATTTGTGCCTTTAAAAATAAAGAAAAATGCTGCTTCAAGTTGTCTTAATCAAACTTGAAGAGATTGGCAGTAGTCCCATGGTTTAGTTCCTGGAACCAGTAAGACCTTAAGAGCCTCAGTTTTGCCACTGATGTTGACTGTCAGAGCAGTCCAGTACCAATGACTCATGGGAATTGCCCTGCCACTGAGAGCCCTGGCTGGTTATGAACTAGGAATGACTGGGCACACTAGCCTTTCATGCTAATTCTTATATGCATGTATATCCAGAACATTTGTGCTTATGGGAGAATTTTGTTGAAAAGTTCTCATCTTAGATACCCAATACTGGTACTTGCTTCACCAGTCACAGAAGAGACCCCAGAGCTGTGCCAAAAGGTCTTATCCCCCACACAACATACTCTTCATTACCACAAAGCCTTAATTAAGGTTACACTCCTAAGATGTAAGAGAAGCAAAAATGTTTCACAGGGTACATATTCGTAGTTCAAAGTCGAACTTAGTGCTGACATTTTCTTGATGCATGTTATTCTATAAGTGAAATGCTAGTAGCTTTTGATTACTAACAATGGGAATGATTCGATCATCTGGCATTTGCCATTTGAGTTCTGTTTTCATGTAGAACACGTGCTGAGTCGTTTGCTTGAACTTTTTTGTGTCATATTTATTAAAGTTTTAACATAGGAAAGTTTGCTAGCTTTTAATGACTTAGTAAAACTCTGCTCTTTGGAATTCCAGTATCAGGTTGGACAGCTTTACTCTGTTGCAGAAGCGAGTAAGAATGAAACTGGTGGTGGAGAAGGAATCGAAGTCTTGAAGAATGAACCTTATGAGAAGGATGGAGAGAAGGGACAGTACACCCACAAAATTTACCACCTGAAGAGGCAAGTGGGGTTTCCACCTGTAACCTGCAGTACCTACCTGGCCCGCTGAGCTGTAATATGCAGTGACCATGTGTTATGCTTCAATTTATTGTGGGCCCCCTCATTTTATACTCAGTTATACAAGTGATACACCTGCCTGTAACAAAAGTTCAAACAGTAGGGAGGACTATAAAATTACAGCTTCATCCTCAACCTGAAGAGAGATGGTTAGCGGTCAGGAGCACTGGCTGCTCTTATTGAGGACCCTAATTTGGTTCTCAGAACTCACGTGGTGGCTCACAGACATCCACCACATTAGTTCCAGTAGATCCAGCACCATGGGTATCAGGCACACATGTAGTTCACGTACACACATGCAGGCAAACCATTCATATGCATAAGGTAAAAATGTATAAAATTCATCTTCACTCCTTGCCACCAGTGTCTGTAAAAAGAGAAATACTTGAAACACTTATCCTGGTTTATCCATGGTTTTGTCTGATACCTATAGGATTTTTTGTTTGTTTGTTTGTTTATGTATATGGGTATGTAGGTTCTGGAGCAAGTGTGTGTGTCAATGTTTGTGGGAAGGCCAGAGTACGGCTCAGAGATGATGGCCCCATTGGGATAAGGGTGTGTGTGTCAACCTGGACCTCACCAGTTTTACTGGACTGACTGACACTGGGATTGTAGATACAGGCCAGTGTGCCCCAGCACATTGACATGGTTTGGGGGGGGTGGTGGTGCCAGGTTCTAATGCTTGTAAGACCAAGAATTTCACCAATGAAGTAACCCCACTAGCCCCTGTGTGAGTTTTTTTTTAAACCAAGTAAAATTCCTTGGTGTGTGCCCAGTATAGTTTATTTACCTGAGCCCTACAGGGTAGGAATGAAGAGTACCACATTTTAGGTAATTTGCAGTTTAGTACATTTTGTAGTTGTAGCACACTTTCTGGTTGTCAAGAAGGATCTGCTGGAAAGCTGTGACAGTTTAAATTGTCCTCCAAAGTTTCATATACTAATCTTCCATATTTTTCTTTTTGGAATTTTTGCCAGTTTCCACTTGTGATTCTTCATGGGTGTGGTTGGGTGTGTGATGGTGGGGAGGTCTTTGTGACTGGTAGGTTTTGCCTTTGTTTTATTAAGTTCTTTTGTGCATTCATCTTAAGCTTGAGTCTTATCCATACCTTTTTCTTTACAATAGGAAATGCATACCCCAGAGTAGAGATGGCTCTGAGTCCTTTTGCAGACCACCTCCCTGTCTCTTAAGGTTGGGAGGACATCTCTTCTCGCCTCAATTTTCTTCTCTGTACATTCAAGTAAATCTTTCTAAAGCACCTTGAAATTGTAGATGAGCTTAGGTGGTTACATTTAAATTTTGCCATCATTTTCTTCTATAAAGTTTTATTTTTCCTGTGTGTGTGTGTGTAGGTGGTTACATTTAAATTTTGCCATCATTTTCTTCTATAAAGTTTTATTTTCCTGTGTGTGTGTGTGTGTGTAGGCCAGAGGAGGGTTGCAGGGTATAGTGATCCACTAGACATGTGTGCTGGAAAATGAACTCTGGCAGGTACTCTCTCTCTCTCAACCACTGAGACATTTCTGCAGCCTCTCTTTAATTTTTGATTCATCCATTAATTCAGTTCTATGAAGAGCTAAAAGTTCCTAAATGAAAGCACTGGACTCTTTCTGGGAGTGCTAAAATAAGCCAAAGGGTTTAATGTGTAAAATTTTGTGTTGGTCTGTGATATCTTTTTATAGATTACTATTCCAAATGTGAAAACATGAGCTTGTTCCATTGCTGTCACAAAACACCATGACCAAAAACAACTAGGCAAGGAAAGGGTTCATTTGGCTTACAAGTCACAGTACATTGTTGAGGCAAGCCAAGGCAGGAACTGAAGCAGAGACCATGGAGGAGTGTAACTCACCAGCCTGCTCTCTCTGGTTTGCTCAGCCTGCTTTCTGTAGCACCCAGGACCACCTACCCAGGGGTGGCATCTACCCCCAGTGGGCTGGAGGCCCTCCCTCATCAATCATTAATCAAGAAGACACCCTTACAGACTTCCTGCAGGCAATCCAGTGGAGGCCTTTTCTTAAAAGTTCTTCCCAAATGACTAGCTTGTGTCAAGTTGACAGAAAACCAATCAGGAAACATCTTGAAATAAATGTGTACTATCTTTTGTTTGAAACCTAAAGGCTCAGATATTAGAAAAATGGCACCTTGTTGTATAGAAAGGTCTATTATTGGGCCATTAGGTATTCATACAGTGTTCATGTTTTTAAAACCTAATCAGATAAAAAGCCTAGAAAGTCATTAAAGTGTTAGGAATGTTTATCACTTCCTGCTGGGTGATTTCATTTTTATGGAAAAGAAGACTATTAAGTACCATTTTTGAAACAACTGATTTAGGTAACTCTCCAGCCATAAATAATGACTCTCAGTTGAAGAGAGCTATAAATATGGTCACTGCAAGTGATTATCACTCAAGAGCTTATTTGGGCATGATAGAACTTTCAGGTTTGGTGGTACAGGGTCTCTGGAGGCTGCCTTCCTGTGTTCTTGGTCTCTTGGATCAGTGTCTTCATTACTGAAGGAACCAGAGTCATTCCACAACACCTTTTCTGTGTACCAGTCCCCAGACAGGCAGGTTGAGTTTTGTACCAGGGGACACAGAAATACACACTAGCCTCAGTACCACCTCCAACACACACGCATACACACATACACACACACACACACACACACACACACACACACACACACACAAATGAGCAGTAGCCTCTTATATAGCTAAACTTTTTTTTTTTAAATCATTTTTAGCATTAATTTGATATGGGATTATTTGGGGATTGAAATAAAATGTTAGTGCTACCTAGCTCATCAGATTTAGAATGTGATAACATTTTTTTATAGAAACAAAAATGATGGGTGCAGTTGAAAATATATCCAATGTCTTTCTCCTCACAGCAAAGTTCCTGCATTTGTAAGGATGATTGCTCCTGAGGGCTCCTTGGTGTTTCATGAGAAAGCCTGGAATGCTTACCCCTACTGTAGAACAAGTAAGCTGGTCCCCGGCAGCACTGTACCCTGTTGCCCTTATGAGTGCCCTGGTCTCAAGGGTTAGACCAAGCAAAGCCGCCTCTGGGGTCTCAGATAGTTACTGCTTCACTGCTTGGGTGATGGCTAGGGAGCCACTGGTTTCCTCCTCAGACCTATGTGTATCCCTTAGTTCATTCCCAGATGACAGCCATAGGAAGTCCTGCTGACTGTTGGCTTTGGGGTGGACAAGTAAACATGGAAACCATAAAGGTCATTTGCACCCAGAGGTGCCTTTTGGTGCTCCAGCAGCCCTTTGGAGGATGTTACAGATTTGCTTTCCAAACCAGCTTCATAAATGATATAACGTTTTTGTGATATGCTTATTAGCATTATTTTAAATTAAGGTAGATTATTCTTCATATTGTCATTGAATTCCATAGTCTTAATCAAGGATCTCTTGGTGACACTTATATAGAGACCATTTTGAAGATGTAAGCTACTAAGTGTTAATGTGTTTGGGATAGCTTAGTCTACCTGACAGAAATATGGGGACAGGCTGTTTTGACTCCATCTAATTGAACTTTTTCCTGTTTTGCTGCCGGCCTCGTCTCTCTGCCTCAGTTGTAACGGTGAGTAGCATGCACTGTTCTTCAAACTTTGTTTTCACATCTTGTTGATTCCCAGCTGCTACTGGCTTTTCGCTTGGGCTCCCATTGCTTCATGGCCTGTCCTGTGTCCTCATTCTGCCATCCCCACTTACATGTCCCAGGCTTGCCACACTCTTTACTGGTTCTCCTTTGCTTTTGCTTTGTCTTTGAATTCCAAATTGCTCAGCAAACCTCCCGGCCTTCTCTCTACCCCTGTGCTGCATGATGAGTGGGAGTGCTTGGATTATGTAAAAGCATCATTTGCCATACCCAACAAGCCCCTCAAAAATCTGGAGCTGGAGATTCAACTTGGCCATTGAGAGCATAGGTTGCTCTTCCAGAGGATCCAGGTTCAGTTCCTAGCACCTACGTGGTGACTCACAACCATCCATAAATCAAGTTCCAGGGCATCTGGTGCCCTCTTGTGACCTCTACAGGTACTAGACACACGTGTGGCTCACATACATAGATGTAGGCAAGACACTCACACATAAAATAAAAATAAATAAATCTAAAATAAAATGGGGAGTTCAAGGCTCTGGGTTTGGAAAGAGATCCACAGGGGGGTGCTGTGCAGGGAAAGACTTCCGCAGAATTGTGGAGCCTGCATCACTTTCTTGTGTTCTCTGCAGAATGAATATATGAAAGATGACTTCTTCATCAAAATTGAAACATGGCACAAACCTGACTTAGGAACATTAGAGAATGTAAGTTTCCATTCTACACTAAAAGGGTGGGGCATGGCTGCTTCATGGAGTGCTTGGTCCACTTGTGCAGAGTTCTGGGTTTGGTTATCAGCACGATCAGGGCTGTACCAGCTCTGCACTTGAGTGAGGAAGGCTGTGGGAATGGGAGTTACTAGAAACACGGCTATGTTGTTGGGGTAAGGCAAGCAAGCCAGACACAAATCGGTTTCCTCTATCAGTCCCTACGTTGATGCTTGAGTGGACTCATCTGAGATTGCTGTTTTTATCGTCAGCTCTCTTACTTGGAGCTAGGAGAACATGGGTGGTAACGCTCACAGATGGTGCCACAGCCAGTTCTTACCTGGTAGATTTGGATTGTTTTTCCTCACCAGAGCACTTGTTCTTAGCAGAATCGATTACTCTGGTGGTTATGCCCACTTCACTTTTCTGGGCCACAGCTGATTTCAGAGAAATGGCTAAAGGGCAAGAGTGAGAAAGGTGCTTGGTTTGCAAAGGCATTGACAAGCTCCTGACATACATTATAAGTATTATAACGTACATTCATACCTGAGCTTCAAAGACACCTGCCGGGATGCTGGAAACTAGCCGTGAAGGCTTGTTCAGGAGCTGGGCAGGCATCTAGAGGGCCATGATGCCCTTGGACCCAAGGGTCTCGGAAAGTGTCTGTAGCTCTGGAGCATCAGCATCCAAAAGTCATTAAAAATGTGTGTGTCCTCAGGCTGTTAGCACCTGCCTTCCGGTGCACAGCCACACATGGAGGAGCGTGAGTTAGTGGAGGGGCTGGATTTTAGTCCTAACGGCTGTGTGCCATGAGGTTCCATTTTTGGTGTTCATTCATAGAACTTAAATTTTAATTTGTGTGTTTGTCAGTTGATCATGTGACAACATATTTTTGATTGAATTTCTCTAAAAATAAAGGGTCTAAATGAAATGTAATGATTATTTTATACTCTGACTTATCCTGCCATTTCCAACTTTCAGACAGGCTTAACTTTTTAAAAACAGTTCACAAGGTTTGAGAAATTATTGAATAAGAAGTGTCAAGAAGTTGACAAACTAGAAACAAGTTGTAGTATAGTCAAATCATTCTCCTTTTAAAAAATGATTTGTTTTTATTTTATTTATTTATATATATTTTGGGGGTGGGTGTACATGGGTGCATGTGTCAGAGGAGGTCACAAGATTCCAAGTCCCTTGTAGCCGGAGTTGCAGGCAGTTGTGATCCAACCAACATGGGTGCTGAGAACCGAACTCTGACCCTATGCAAGAGCAGTTTGTGCTCCTAACCACTGAGCCATCTCTCTAGCCCAGTGGTTCTCAACCTGTGAATGGTGACCCCCTTGAGGTGGAAAGACAATTTCACAGTGTTCTGCTAAATCCATTAGAGAACACAAGATAGTTAACATGACAATTCATAACTGTATTAAAGGGCTGTAGCATTGAAAACCACTGCTCTAGCCCCTTGTGGAGCTTGTTGAAATGAGCATGTCATGTTACTTTTGCTAGCATAGAATTTAAGGGTTCATACTTTGGCTAGCATAGAATTTAAGGGTTCAGAGCACTATGCTTATATTACTTGAATTAAACAGGCAAGATACATTCTGTTACACAAATTACACAGATTTCTCATGGGGAAGCAATACAAAGAGTAAAAGCTGTCCAGATCTCAAGATTACCAGCTGCTGCCTACTGAAATAGCAATTTCATCCCCATACTGTATCCTGAGGGACTCACACACTCTAAGAGGACATATGGAAATGTAGCATTTTTTTCCTGGAAAAGAACACACTAAAGTTTTCTGTCTCTCACAGGTTCATGGCTTAGATCCAAACACGTGGAAAACTGTTGAAATTGTCCACATAGACATTGCAGATCGAAGTCAAGTCGAACCAGCAGTGAGTACTACCCGATGGCATCTTGTTGTGTCCCCTTCACATCTCACAAAGTTATTTTCTGTCTATCGTGTACTCTACATTTCTACACTGAAATACTGGGCCCAGGGTTAGTCTGGGCAACAGGGACCCTGGAAGAAGAGAAAGTTTTCTGTGCCGTAGGCAGGCTCTTTAAGAAAGGGAACAGTACTTCACATATGTTGGAGTGTTTTCTGCTTTAAAATGATGAAGATCATCTATACTTTTGTACTAAGTATGAGTAAGAAAGCAAAGGTGTTCCTCATGTAAGTTTTCATTCGCTCAGTTAAGGCTAGCCTTGCTAGAAGGGTATGGTGCATGATTGTTTAACAACTAGAATGCTATTTTGATTTTGGTTTTTTAAGCTTCTTAAATTTTTTATGTGTGTTTAATGCGATTGCACAGCACACATAGAGGTCAGAGGACAACTTTTATGAGCTGCTTCTCTCCTCCCACCTTCACATGTGTTGTCAGTGGGGTCAAACTCAGGTCATCAGGCTTGAGTGGCAATGACCTTTTACCCACTGAGCCATCTTGCTAGCTCTGTTTTGATTCTTACTAAATGTAAGTACCTGTACCTGCCTCTTCTGACCCAATCTCCCTCATGTGCCAGGTGAAGACCTCATTTGTTCTGGTTTCCTGGGGTTGGTGCATGCTAACTCAGGCCTATTGTATGCAGGTACTGTATTTGATTGGCAGGTGCAACTGTGCACAATTTATAGCTAGGGTAGCCAAGGATGGTCTTCTGCTCTCTCTGCTGGTACTTACCTGGTATGGTTTGTTCATAGACAGGGCGTTCAGTATTCCCTACCATTTCTGTTTTTAGTGCGTAGTCTCTGAATTTGAGCAGTGTTGTCAGCTCAACAGAATAGAAATAACTCAAATACAAACTGTCCACTTTACTATTGAAATTTAAAGGTGAATCTTCTAAAAGAAAGGTCTCTGACTTTTATCAGGAACACCTGGGGTTAAAGTTGATAGTGACTGGGCTGAACACCACTCTTTTAGGGCCCCTCCCTGCTTAGACAGACTTATACCTGAGACCGACCTCTGGCCTCTGTACACACCCACCATCACACACCACTGAAAAACAAATGTGGGCACCAAGTAGTGGGGGTGATCCTGGGGTCGGTTGATTTGTTTTCACTTGTACTGTGATTTGAAGTTACCTCAATTTCAAGGATATTTCCATCTTTGAAATTAAGTAAAGGGAACAATTTTACTCTGTTCAAGTGGGGAATCATTCAGACGCTGTCTGCTGTTTTTGTTGGGGGCGTCTGTTAGCCAGTATGTACTGTATGTTAAAGAATGGTGAAAGGAAGAGAAGTATCTAGGATGAAAGAGGGAACTAGTCAGCAGGTTGGCTGGGTACCTAGCATATCTGGTCACAGACAAGGTGGAAGAGCAGTGTGGCAAGCCAGGATTGAGTGCCCTGGGAACAGCATTGATACATTGTGATTGAATTGATGTGTTGGCCAACAGAATAGAATGGTGACATCAACTAAACCTGGACCTTCATGGTTCAGTAGAGTATAGGACATGCCTGGCTTTACTGGGAGCATGAAGTTTTTGTTCTTGTCCTAGGACAAAAGTAGACAGTGTCTGAGAGTGCGGCCAAGGCAGCCTTCTGCTCTGCTGCCTTACAGGTGAAGAGACCATGCAGTTGCAAAGGTTACACAGGTGGTTCTGTGGAGATGATGTTTGGGTTGGATGGTAATGGAAAGAATGGATTGGACCTAAGCATTATGATTTGGTGGAGATGTTGTGACCAAGCACACTTACTCTAAAACAGGTTTTAGATTCAGATTCTGAGGCTCTGCCACCTACTGATTTTTTGATTCCCTGTGCACAGCTATTTAATCTTGTGCAAAACAAAGCTGACTGCACACAACACTAAATATGAGCACACGGTAGCAACTCAGTTAGCATATGCAGGCCTAGCTGTCATTGCTAGCTGCACTGTGCAGGTGTCTGCCCCAGTGTCACTAGACATTGTATATAAGTTTTCACCTGGGTGTTTTTTTCTTTTTTTCTTTTTTAAATTGTGTGTGTGCACATGTGCAAAGATTTACTTTTTATTTATGTGTATGTGTGTGCATGTGGATACCTTGGAAGGCCAGAAGAGTTGCTTGGTTTGGGAGATGAAGCCAGCGCTTTTTAGCTGTGGAGCCACCTCCCCAGCCCAATTAATTTTCTGTGGTTTTGCAGGGTTCATAACTCCCCTTTGCAAATCTACATTTCAGATATGAGTAAATGCAAACTTAAAGTATACTGATTTTGCAGTACCATTTTTTTTGTTGTTGTGATAAAATGTACGCAGCATAAAAGTTAACCTTTGAATCCTCTAAAACTGTACAATGTAGTGGCATATTGTGTACTCACAGTCGTTACAACCATCACCGTCTAGTTCTGGGATACTTTTGTTACCCCAAGAGGATACACTGTGTCAATCACCAATCTCCTATTTTCCACTCCTTAACCCCAGCTTTTTGCGGCCACTGGGGTTTGCCTGATGGGTCTGGTTGCTGCTTAGGCTGTGCATGGTTTCAAGTTTTATTTGTATTATGGCATATGTCAGTGCCCACCTCTTCTTTTGACAGTATCACACTGGGTGATACACCACATTCTGCTCAAGCTTTCATCCAGTGTTGGGCATTGGCCGTTTTGATGGTATCACAATGGGTATTAGGGTCTGGACACTTCCCACTTGTGCTGCAAGCACATCTCTTCACCTCACAGCAAGCTCACAACAAAACTTTAAAATGACTGAGTTTATTTTCTCCCTGCTGTTCATTTTATAAGAAACGAAACAGTTGCACTAGTAATTTTGAGGAAATAGGTAGCCAAGGCCTGTCAAACTCAGGACAAATGTTAAATAGTTGAGAGTGGAGAAACAAGAATTTGAAAGGAAGCTTGAGTCTTTTCACTCCATCTGGTGGAGTTCTCTGTCATTGCAGGTGGATTTGGTCCAAACATTGCAGTCCAGAGTGACTTTTGCTTGCTTTAGGGCTCTCCCTCTGCTAGGCTCTTAAGTGGCTTGAGGTTCACTCCTGTTGACTTACTATGTTTGCTTATTCTTAGGAGCTGGATTTTACCATGTATTGGAAGGACTGTGATTTGACCCCTGGTGTAGCTGCATACTTGACTGAATGCTTTGACATGTTTGTATAATTGAAGTGGCATTGTCAGAATAACTCTAGAAGCAAAGATTTGTTGTAAGAATCTGTCAGTGTGACTTAGGTTCACAACATAGTTGCTATAGGAACCATGTGCATGTAAATATGTGAGTTATTAGGGATGTTTTGTTGATGCCTTTTGGAACAATTTTGTAAGACTTGGTTTGGATACATTATTTCTTTAAGAAACTAGTGGGCTGTCTGATATTTCTGTATAAATATCTCACTCAGTTTCTTTTGCGCATTACATTGTATTCACCTTGCAAAACTGACTTCCTCTTTGAGAGAAAGCAGCATTGAAGTGGAGTGCCAGTAAGGGCTTGTGCCCTCAAGGAGGGAGGGTCCTCATCTCTGGAGTTGAGCAGTGACAGAGCACGCACACTCTGCCAACACAATGCCTCTGCCCCCTCACACTCCTTATCCAAACCTCTGTGTTCCTGATCACATTCCCTGCCTTCAGTTTTCTCAGTACATCAGCACCCTTGGGCCAGGGCAGCATTGTACGCATTTGCATTTCATCAACCTAGAAAGAGGCATACTTGTTGATGTGGGGTGAACTTTCCAGGGGAACTTTGCTGGATTTTTTGTTGTTGTTTTCTGTAGTAGTCATTTGCTGGCTCTGTTGCTGCTGCTGGTGTTTCTATCAGGAGATTGGGGGATCAGGGCAGTTTGAGACCAGCATGGGGAGACCCCCCATCTCAGAAAAACAAGATAAAAAGAAGAAAGAAGGGAAAGATACTCAGAGAGGTTGGGTTTTATTGTGCAGGCAGTAATGGACACAGTGCTGCTGCAACCGTTTCCTGATCCTGCACCGTGGAAACACAATGCTGCTGCCTGCACTGCAAGGATTCTGAGCTATTTGTGATCTGTTTTTGTTCAGGGTAAAAAGTATCTTATTAGATTGTAAAGAGTCAGCATGTGCCTCATAAAACATCCAAATGTAAGTTTAAAGATTTCCCCCTTCTCAGGTTGTTGATACATAGCCACAGCAGAATGTTTGGGCTTCTTTAGTTGCCCTGATGAGATGCTCACCATAGCCTCAGCTCATTTCCAGGATGTACACAAACGAGGCACTTGACATCTGCTTCTGCTTTGTTTCCTAAGGTATAACATTTGAATTTGGCCCCTTTAATCATGCTCAGCACTCTGTCTAAGTAGCTTTCCATGATTTGTATACAAAAGTCACTTCCCAGGAGAGGAAGGCTCATGAGCTTGAAGTGTGCACACCACTAACAGCAGAGACCTTCAGTTTGGAAGTAATTTGAAAGAAATGAGCACAGTTTTGAAAAGAGAAATTGGAACCACATTTAAAGGTATTTACATGAAATGAGAAAGATGTTTGTCAGCCTTTCTGTGTGTGACTTTATAACTTCCAGGATGGGTTTCTTTCTTCTATAGTAGAAATGAAAAAAAAAAATTTTAAAGTTTTGAAATCTAAAGTAATGCGTCTTTCTTCTATAGTAGAAATGAAAAAAAAAAATTTTAAAGTTTTGAAATTTAAATAAAAGCCTATTAATATGCTTTAAAGAAGTTAGTAATAAGCCTATCTTAGTGATTCAGAAGGTTTAGAAATACCGTTGTAGTGCAATGAGATGGCTCTGCAGATAAAGGGGCTTGCTGACAAACCTGAGTTCAGTCCCCAGGATGCACACAGTGTAAGGAGAGCCAAGGCCTGCGAGATATCCTCTGGCTACCCACACTTGTGATGTGGTATACAAGTACCCACACTTTTTACACATACGCACCACTTTTTAAAATATAAAAATACAGCTCAGCATGGTGATGCAGAATATTTTCCCCATCTTAAAA